ACCATGATGAAAACATGTTTTCAACATTCGAAGCAAATTCAGAATTACTCCATAGGAAAAAAGAATAGCTTTGAAACTCCATTTAATATCACCATAGTTTTAAACTCATCATAAAATTGGAAATAATTAGTAAAAAATTAAAAATTTAGCGTAGAACATTTCAAGTGATTTTAAATGTATTGACCCAAAAAGTGGGAGTGGATTCAGTGTTAGAACCCTGACTTCAATGCTTTCAGGTTCGAATCCTGGCTGATGGCTGATAAATTTATTTATTTGGCCGTGGATCGACCCTGATATCGATCCAAATTAGCTCCTTGCACAACCATTGACCACGAAACGGCAGCTCCTTTCTGGGTACTGAGCCCAAAGCCCTTCAAGGGTTGTAGTGGTACCATTGCACCACTACAAACTATAAAGAAATCACCCAAACCCACACCATAACTAACCTATACCAACCACTTCAACCCTTAAAGAAAAATACCTATTTAAAAAAGGAAATCACCCATTTAAAAAAGGAAATCACACCAACCCATAACCATACGCAACCTATACCAACCCATGAAGGAAATCACTATCTAAAATAGGGAATCACCCTAACCCATACTAACCCATAAAGGAAATCTGAGGCTAAACAACCTGAGCAAAGACCAAAGGACACCAGTCTGCATGGGACTGCCCACCACTTGCTGGAGTTAATAAAACAACTAAATTGGAAGCATATTAAATACATTAAATAGCTAATTTCAAACATTTGGAGTTTTTGATATAACTACATATTCTGTATCTCTTAGTAAAACTTCAAAATATATTAGTTTTATTGTGTTATTCTACTCACCAATGTTTTATTCCAGTGTTATAAATCCTAACCAATAGAACAAGACAGAACTAAATAATTAAAATGTGTACAACTAAGGTTTATTTACAAATTTAAACAATGAATAGTTAAGATAAAAATTCAAAATATATTTTTAGCTTAATGGTTTGATAAACAAAAATAAATAATACTATCAACTATTCTGTATTAAAAATCATAAATCATTTTAATTATCATTATTTTCAAAAGTTATAATTTTATTCATTCCTTGTCTTAATCAAAGAAATTTCATCATGTCCGGAGAATGAAATAAAATAAAATATAATAAATAATGACATTTACAAATTAAAATCATAGTCTTTAATATATACTAAAAACTCTTTTATATCAATTAATAATTAATATTTATAAATTTTTACCTTGAAAACTCAAAAGATGGTTTTAGACTTGTAATAGTTTGATGGACTAAAATAAATGATGCTATCAATTATTTTGTGTTAAAACCATAAATCATATTAGTTATTATTATTTTCAAAGATTATAGTTTTATGTAAACTCACTGTATGAATCGAAACAATTTCATCTTGTTCCGGTGCCAGAAAATATAGAATATCCTTGCTATTTATTTTGATATAACTTACTGTTACATTCACAAATTAAAACCTTAATCATTATTGTAACCTAAAAATTCTTTTTCGGTGTTGTATAAGTAATATTTATAAAGTAATTACATTATTAATTGAAGTTTTGGAAAGATTGTGTATAATTTATTCAAGTTGAATCGAATAGCATAGTATTCAAACAGTTAAGTTCTCAATAGTAATGGATCAGTTTAAAAAGCAATTTTTCATTATAATGACACAATAATATTACTCAATATTCAAAAATTGATAGAAAACTTTTATTATAATGGAAGGTAGATATGATTTTCTAAAGATAAGTAGGTCTTTTTTTTCTATTAAATTTTACTTTACTGGAATGTTAATTACGCAGCATCCCGTATTATTCTATCCAACAGTTCAATTAATAAAAAAGTAATACAAACAATAATATACCATCTGTTCAACCAATCATGGAATTTGGATATAATCTCACTTACAATAATATGTGGTATTTTCATTAGATAGCTGATGTAGAATATAAAATGGTTGATAGCTTTCTGACACAGAAATCTTTGAACGTTAAAGTAAATCATTAATACCCATAAGTTAGTTTATATATTTTTTTCTTAACCTACAAACACTCAATGGAATTTATTATTATTTTATAAAATACAAACTTGTAATATTTTTGAAATTGAAAATATTTGTAATAATTAACCACTTGTAAACTAATTATTAACAATCAAGAAAATATTATTGAATTTGGATAAACTAAAAAGAAAGGAGAGAGACATAATTTATTGCGCTCATGATTTTAAGTTCAGGGTCTTAATGTCACGCAAGTTTAAGCTATCAAGATTAATAAGTATTGACTTTAGTTAAAATAAATTTATGAGAGTTTCATCTAGAAGGCAGACATAATTGCAATATATCACTTATTTAAATACCATATTTATCTTAATTATATGATATAAATATGATGTTTAACTAATATCTTTTACTTTTGTATTATTATTGTTACTTTCCTTTTGAAGTTAAAACTTGGATTACATTTTTTCTTTATTCTGTATTATTTGCTTCATACTGCAATAGATAGCTAATGTATTTCGACAAAAAATATGTAAATGGTCTCTGGCCATAACTAGCTAAGTCGAAAAATGGTTCTCACGAGTTTTGTAAATTGAGATCATCTTCCAAGTCTTCTAAACATCCCGAAGAAGTTTGTAATTCATACTACTAAATCTTGTAGAAGTCTAGACGAGAACTGTGAATTTACTAACTTCATCATGGTGTTACGAAGGCTCATAAGATGATCTAAATTTACAGAACTCTTGAGGACCATTATTCGACTTTACTAGTTATGTACAGGGGCCATAAATATAATCTTATCAATAAATTATTCAATATTCAAAAAACAATATTTAAAAAATTCAGTATATTCTTTTCTTTTTTTTTGTAGTAATTATCTTAAAAAAGTTAGAATTAAAATTTTTTTTAGAATGTCATGATTAAGATTATCTACCTTATTTTGTCGCTTAATTGCAAAAAATCAGTAAGTGACATTTCTAAACCTTAACCAATTAAGAATTTTGAGCTAGTTTTTCTTTATGCTTTTTTCTGTACTCTTGTTTATATATTTGATATATAAAAAGGTTTGTTACATTTTCATGCCCTTACAGTGTTTTTGTATCAATTAATAAAGTGGAAATTCATAAAAAACATTATTGAAAGATAACCTATATCAAAAATGCACTTAATGACTTTTTGCAATAAACTGAGGATATTTAATTACTGAATATAACAGATATATAAAGAAATTAAAAAGAATGATCTATATTTCTTTTTTACTTGAACTGGCCTAAGTATGCTCTTGAGTTGACATATAACTAAACCTAAATTAATTTCATTACCAAAATGAAAAATGAATTAATTCAGATATTTGTTAATTAATAATATTTATAATTTAAAATGTAGAATAATTCAGGATATTTTTATTTCTTTGTTTTTATTTTTTTTGATGAATAAAAAAAACATAAATTGCATTATACCATTTATAAATAAAACTTACAAACTATATTTTACTACCTGTAAAGTATGTATAAAATAATGATCTAATATATTGATATGCATTCAGTTTTATTATTTCATACGAGGGTTTAAGGTTGGAAATAGACACGATCAATTATAACAGCAGAACATAGAGAACAATAAAATATTATTATTACAGTAATATAAGATTATAAAATACATAAAGGACATGTCGACAAGTACTTTTAACTAATAATATTAATAAATACTGAATTATATATATATATATATATATATATATATATATATATATATATATATATATATATATATATATATATATATATATATATATATATATATATTTTTAAATATGGAAGATATTATTTAAGCAATTCATCAAAAACTAAAGAAGACAGACGTAACTGCTATTTTCGATTCAATATCAATAAGAGATCCCTATGCAAAAGCTTTATCCTAAAATCATAAATAACTTTATTTTAATAAGAAATATATCATTGTTTTTACACCATTGTTTTATTCACCTTCCGTCATTTGATTCAGCTTGATCAAATTATTCACAATCTTCCCAAAACTTTAATTTATAACTGTACTTACCTCATCGATATTAATTATAAAATGAAAAAAAGAATTTTCAAGTTACATTAATGAATACAATTTTAATTTTCGATTGTAACAGAAATATCAAAATAAATATCACGCATATTATGTATTTTCTTGCACCCGAACCTGATGAAATTGTTACGATTAAGTCAGTGAGTTTACATAAATCTGTAATATTTTAAAATATTTATAATTAATGTGATTTATGACTTTAATACAAAATAATTGATATTAATATTTATCTGTTTCTATCAAAAATGCATAAATATTGATTATTAATTGGCATAAAATAATTTTAAGGATATATTTTAAATACTATGATTTTAATTTGTGAGTTTCATGGTAATACCAAATAAATATCCACCATATCATGTTATTTTTTGACCCGAAACTGTTGAAATTGTTTTGATTATAACAGAAAGTTTAAATAAAAAGATAACTATGAAAATAATTATAATTTAAATGAAAGGTTGTAAAATTGCCAAGATGTGCAGTAAAAATTCTTTCTTGAGTTTGCCGACATTTCAATGCAAACATGTGGATCATCATCAGGACAATGGTTTGAAGGCTGGAAAAGAACTGCGAAATAGAGTTCTGCATATTGTGACTATTTTTCATCCTTAAAATTTCAACATTTAACTACGAGTATATATCCATCAGTAAAATATCAAAAAATGATTTATGAACTTTAATACAGAATAATTGATAGTATTATTAATTAATTTACTAATTTTTTATCTAACCAATATGCTACAAACATATTTTTAATGTTTATCTTAACTATTCATGTTTTAAATTTGTAAATTAAGATTACTTAAAAGCGTCCATAATACTTTAATTACTTACCTTTGTCTCATTCTATTAGTTAAGGTATATAATACTAAAGTGAAACAAAGGGGGATAGGATAACATAATAAAACTGATACATTTTGAATTTTTATTAAGTGATACATAATATGTGAATATATTACAAACTGCAAATGTTGAAATTGGCTATTTAATCTGAATTAATACAAATACAGATGTTCTCAAAATCAAAAGTACATTGGTATTTTTAGTTATTTATATAATTTATTCTAATAGCATTAAAATTCATTATTACAGAAATAAATGCTTAAAATATGTTACATAAAATACAATTCTGGAAAGAAAATTCAATACATTTTTTAGGAAAACATTTTTTTTTTTAATATTGATTAATTTGAGAAAAATCTGAATATGTTAAAATTTTAATATTTATTTGCTTAAAATTGAAAGTCAATGAAATTCTTAACAGAGGTATTTTAAGTGAGACGGTTAAGCAAAAATGGATTTATATTATCATACACAAGTATTAATGAAATGATGATCAGCTTCAATCCTTCGGGTTTCAGATATGCGTTTTGATTACTGTCACATCAGGATGAAGAGTTTGATAAATTTTCTTCACATATAAGTATCTCATGTATATTTATATATATTTTTTTTTACATTTTTCTAACTTGCAATGAAAAATAAATCAATCAAATTAAATGATCTTTGAAATAAAAAGCTTCAAAGTTCAAACTAAATTTTTACCCTCAGGTGGAGGTGAAAAAGCCCCCTGGGCGCGCATTCTATTCAGCTCTGCAATAACCTTTTTCTCCATGAGCTTGTTGAAATATTTCTCTCTCAAGATTTCTTCTTTGACATGACGAGGGATTTTATTTAAGATTCTCAACTTTTTACAAGTCAATATAATGACACAGATCAGGAACATTGCAATTCCAGCCAAGCAAATGAATATTGGGATATTATCATCGATCTCTTGCTGGATTGAAATATCAGCAATAGAAGCATTACCCAAATTGCCTGATACAATCACGCCTTCTCTGATGGTGCTTATATGAAGATAGATGAAAAGAGGAACTGCTAACTCACACCAGAAGGCGATGCTGGTTGTCAGAAACAGTAAGAATAAGAAGCACTGCCTGAGCTTGGACATCTCGAAGAGCAAATAGGAACAAAGAGCAACTGAAAGAGCCAGGAGAAAACTGAATCTTGGAGCACAGAAGCGCTCCTTATATAGCAAATATAGGCAGATCTAGCGCACTCTATCTACGATTTCTATAAATATCTTCAAACTCAAATTTTAACATATTTCTTATTTGCATCGTATTGAAAAGAAAAATTTAAAATAAATTATATGAATATTAGATATCTCTTTAACGTAATAATGAAATAAATAAGCCAATACAACAATTTTTAATAAGAAAACATTCATCTCTACGAAAGCAAACAAAATAATATGGTGGACATCAATGGTGCCTTGTGTTTCGTGGTCAAAACCTTTTATCAACATAATTGTTATTATTGTATAACATATAAACCTGAGTATTAAATATTTTTCTCTTGTTGTCTTCATATTTGAGCCTAAAGAGTAATATTTTTTTTTTATATTGAAATAAATCGAATAAATTAAAAAATATTTATAATTGTTAAATGTTTGACTGTCGTGGATAATGAAGAAAAGAATAGTTGGGGTGGTCAGTCAAAAAAGAAGACAAAATTAAATTATTCTAACATTCACATTTTAACACTTATGTCACCCTTTTTGATTATGCTTACTTCATCATTCCACACTTTGTAACGGTTATTATTATTTATCTCTTAGTTCTTACTATTGGCATTATTCTAACAATTTCATTTTACTTTATTTTTTTTACCATCACTACTTATGTTTTTCATACCTTGTTATCTGGTTATTTTCTTAGCCCTGATGAAGGCCTGAACTTCAGGTCGAAACGTCGGCATATGTAAAAATAAATATTATCATTTATTTTTGCCTTCTTTTTTGACTGACCACCCCAACTATTCTTCGCTTCATTAAAAAATATTTAGTTTCAAAGTCCTGTTAAAAATATATTTATATATGTTTTAATTTCAGTCAAGTTATTCACGAATTCACAGCATTATGAGAGATGTTTTTGAGAAAATATAGCATAAGATAAAATTGTGAATCACTTTTACAAAATTATAAAAATATTTTAAAATACATAAAATTCTTCTTCTGAAATTTTTCCTCTACCTAACGAATTTATAAAAATGCATTGATAGTTTTTTTTTTTTTTTAGTTCAACATTGCTTGCCTACATGTACTTGGAACTAATGGTTTTTTTTAATTCTTTGTAATTTACCTACTTCAATATATTCTACATCTGACACTATATAATTTTATTTTAACCAAATATAGTAATTGCATTTGTCAAACTTTCCTTTCTCTAGATTTTTAACATAGAATGTTTATTGAACGCCAAATGGGCCATTCTTTATAAGAAAGTATCTGGACTTTTTGTTATTTGCGGACTGGTCTTAGCAAACACAAAAAATAGGAAGATTATTTGGGTTAGCAATGTTCAAAAAAAGGTTCAGTCCATTTAATTTTGATTAGAAAGAACCTAAATATAAGTTATTATATTTACTAATAATTATCAAATCTTGGTTTGGTAGACTGGTATGGACTTTAGTTCTACAGGTCAAAGCTACTACCACTAATACTATTAACGATAAAGATGTATAAAAAAATATATTAAAGACTTTGCTAATATCCTTAAGAACCATATGTGAGTGCCATGAGTCACAGTCTGCCAACCCCTAATTTAGCTACTCAATCAAGATCAAGACATGGGCTTATTAATGCTTAGAGAGGAGGTGAGGAGCATAAGATACACTGAAACTTCTCCTGGAAGACACTTCTCTATAACGGACAGTTTTATGAATCCTATCAATATTTAAATTATTTTATAGAATTCGGTTCTTCCGTAATACTAGACGCTCTCCACACGATGTACTTTTTTTTTAAAACTATTAATTCAAGATATTTACAATTGTATCACAATATAAATACATGAAGTAAATGAGTACACAAGAATATAATCACTTGAAAACACTTGTTGAGAAACTGCCCACAGGTAGCACTCTATGTCTACATAAGGAGATCATGGGGCCATCTTCTTTTCATACGCCTCGGAGGGTTATCAGGAATCGAAGAGGAAGCAAGGTTAGAAACGAGAGGATTCGGATGGTTATGAAGTTTATTATGGAAGGATAGGTATCTGGATAGGGCCAAATCGGAAACATATGGAACATTAAGGTCATTATGGATTATTTTATTTGTGACAAAGTAAGGAACATTGAGAATTTTACGAAGGATTTTGGATTGTAAGGATTGGATACGAGAGGAATTTGATGGTTTAGTGGAGGCCCATAGCTCAACTCCGTATCGCCAAATAGGTCTTATTATGGTCATGTATATGAGTCTTTTGTAATTAATTGGAAGGTTAGAGCGTTAGTCTAGTAAGTGTTGGAATAAGCGGAAACATCGAGCAGTTTCTTGTCGTTTCAGATGGAGTCCTAGGTATCGTATTTGTTCAACAGAGATAAGTGGGGTGTTATTAAAGGATACTGCAGGACAGGAAGTCATAGGTTTTCGACGATAGGATGTACTTAAAGCACATCTTTGATTGATAAGTGGCTCAATCAAAAATTTGATTGACCAGTTTTTTTCCATAACGGAGTGCAGAAAACCATTGATATTTATAATAGCATTGATTAATCATGTAACAGGACCTGCATAAATGGAAAATCGTTCCCGAGAGAATAAAAAATGAATGATCAAAGAGAGGAAATAGACTAACTTATAACAAGCGCTTTCTTCTCCATTTGTAACGTATTGAATGACCAATAAATATATATGAAGACGAAAATGTTTGATTAAGTGATAAATATAAACGAAAAACGTTGCTATAATGATCAAAACCGGAAAAGTTCGATATGATATGATTAATTTTTTAAAATAATATTATTCAAAAAATCAAGGTATAGATGAATGCCATAAACCCAGATTATAGGACAAAAATATCTGAACTATTAAGGGCCAGTTGCTCCAACTCAGTAAAGGTTAGATTAAGCGTTATCTAAGACTATACCAAGTTTTCTAAGATCAGCCGATCAAGATTAAACTTGGTTAAATCTTAGATAACGCTTAATCTGAGCTTTACTGAGTTGGGATAAGTGACCCTAAAAGAAATTCAATTCACATTATAACCTTACATTTTATCTCTAATACAACGAAAGGAAATAGAATACGGTATCATTCTGAATAGCTTACTTTGAAGTAACTGGGTATGGAAAAACGATAACTAAAACTAAAGATTTGAGTGGATTATGTGGCGTAGTGAGGCACAAAACGTAGTGAATTTGAAAACACAATTTAAGAAAATGTATTAGACAATTTGTCGACAGTCACACTGCAAAAGCCTTTGGTTGGAGTTGGTCGGAGAGGAGGGGGAGGGAGCTGAGGTCAAATGAATAATTGCTATGTATTGTAAAGACCGCCGGTGGAATTCATTTAATTATTTTAAAAGTATAAATAAATAAATATCGTAAGTGCTCACATCTGGCGGTACCTGAGCGAGGGTAACGACCCACGAGCCCAACCTTTTGTAGGTGGGAATAAAAACCCTTAAAAACCACCGACCGAGACCGACAACTGAGTGTTTAAACAGGATCCAGAAAGACCTTTCACACCTTCCACCAGAAATACGTAAAATATACCTTGTTAGTGAAATACCTTGGCCTGGCGGAAAGGGCGTGGTCATCCCTTAGGCTAGGAATATTCAGCCAATCAGGAAAAAGTACAAAAAGAGAGGGGGGTGACTGGAAGCTAGGACGGTTAGAGTTTTGAAGAAGGACTTGATCAGGAGAGGCGGAGAGAGCAAGATATGGACTGATAGCTGGGACTCTGCTGGGGGTCAAGCGAGGACGGTTGAACACTGGGAGGAAGACGGAGGCTGAGGAGAGCGACATGGAAGGAGGCTCGAAGATGATGATGAACCAGCTAGGTAATAACCCTCATTTAGTTATACAGATGTAAACTTGTGTTGGAAACCATAAATCATTGATTAATAGAATCAATAGAATACATGTAACTTTAATCAAACATCAAGCATTCTCCTCCAGTATGATTCTCAACTATTCATTATGTATATAGGTTTAGTTATTATTTTGTATATAGATGTTTCTGGTTGTTAAATTTGATAAATATAGTAATTAATCAACCATCTTGTTGAGTTTACATTCTACCTTGCATGCCACCAATTAGATATAGAATAAATAGTAAATTTAGAAACACGATACCTCTAGAAAAGAAATCCAATAAAAATTATATGGTTCAATCTAGGATACTACAGTAGGGGGTCTGTGGTATCTAACCTTTTAATACAGAATTAATATATTTTTCGGTAGATCGGTTCCCTTCTGGGACCGATATAAATACCAATATAAGTATTAAATACAAATAAATGCGGTTCCTGGAACCCCCTACTCGCCGTAGAAACGCGAGGCCAGGAGCATAGCATAATATATATCAAAATAGTATTTTATTGTTTACACCGACGTTTCGGCCCTCTTTGAAGGTCTTCGTCAGGGCTACAAAAGGTACATGGTGGAAAATAAAAAGAATTATTAGTGATATTAAACAAGAAACAGTTGTCTGCTGAAGAAATAATAAGATGACATCAGAGCAATAGGGTGAGAATGCAGTTAAACTATCAAGTATTACATATATAGAAGATACAAACAAAAATAGAAATTAAGTGTGAATAAAAATATAAAACAAAGGTGAACGAAGCGAGTAAGTTTAAAATAAACAGATTGTGATAAAAAGATAAGATTTGTGTGGATAACAAACTAGCAAATGTTACATTTGATTACTGTCAATTAACAGATGAGGAAAAAGGGTTACCGAGTAAAGAAATTGAAAAATAAATAAGTAATGATCTAGTAAAGGTAAAATAAGAATAAGACAACATTAAAAATCTGGTACGCGCAACACGCAATTTTCGCTTATCGCTCAACTTTGAATAGAAATTATTTTCTGGCCATGTTGGGCTATTATAACATTTTCGAATTGCATTTTTAACTGAGCTAAAGCTAAAAAATTACAGCTAAAATCATAAATACTATTAAAATAACAAAATTCCTATTTATTATATCACCGGTTGATTATGGATTGTACGATCCGT